CCGGGTTAACAGAATTCCTTACTCGAATTTCTGCTTCGCGGACTGTTATACAGAGTCAATATTTTCCTTGATTCGGGATTCAACCGGTGACTTGGAACACCATAAATCTCCCAAGTGGCGACTCTGAATCTTTAATAATAATTCCGTTTCGATTGTCACTTCAAGTTGGAAATAACTCCCTTTATTACACCCTTGTGGGTGTAGGTAAAAAGGAGGTGTGACACTATACTGCGAATTAATTATTTTGTCTCGCCTATAAATAACGGGCTCATTGTAGTTATTTTGTATGCTCAAATTTTACTTAAAGCAGATATTTCATTAAAAGTAAGGTTTTTTTACTAAAAGCAAATATTTCATTATATGGCTCAACCTCTTCGTCCACCAAAGTGCTACTGTGGAAAATTATGCATGATGCAAGGTTGTTGGGACGGTGGTGAAGCTGGACGCCGCTACTGGCACTGTATGAACCGGTTTTACAAGGTTCCCAGCGAACCTATTTGTGAGTTTGAGGAATGGGTTGATGAACCATGTTATCAGGAATACTACAAAGAAAAACTACAGTTTCTTCATAATATGTGTTTACGCCAACAGGAAACACAAAGCGAAAGCGATAGAATTATTGCAGAAATGAGGGCGAAACTGAAGGAGGTGGGAGAAGAAAAATAGAAAGCACAATGGAATTGTGAAGCACAAAAGGAACGTAAAAAAAATATAAACGGGAACTTGCGGAGGTGAAGGCGAAACTGAAAGAGGTAGAAGAAGAAAAAGAACAACTGGAAGAACGATTTAAGTGGTTGGAGCGGAGAGTAAATGGCAACCGAGACTGAACATTGGCATGTATGTGTTTAGTGTATTTTTCATATTTCATGTATTTTTATTATGTTGGCCTGCTACATTTGTGTTTGTACTGTAGTAATTTTTTCCTTGTTTGTTGTACTAAATTTTATTATAATTGAAGTGGAAGTTATGTTTAAGTTTAAGATGGGAAATGGACCATCTACCATGCTTTACATATTACATTTTCCTGCAATTAAACAGTTTTTTCTTCACTCATTCCAGATTGTCGAACATAATTTTATTTGATATATATTACAACATACACAAGTACAAACACGTATTACAAAAAAGAATACCAAAACAAAAGACTAGGGGTATCCTTGATAGTTGGGTACATTCGACGAACTTTCACCAGGAGCCGGATTACCACCGCCACGCACACCACCTGAAGGACATTTACGACGGTCGTGTCCTGTTTGCGAGCATATGCCACATTTACGCGCATAAACGGTGTCACCAACATCCATTTGGTTCCGTATACGCGTTCTCTTTTGCACTTGCAGCTTGCGCAAATAGTCCTTGTTACATACCATCTTAAAAGGTTCCGGCGGCCAATAATGCTCGGCACCTAATGGCTGCAACTTCCCACTATACGTGCCTACGTATGCAGCAACACTGTATTGCCTATCAATATAGTTTTTTCCCCATATCCAACTTGTTGAAAGCACTTCAACGCATGTGCGCACGGCATGTGGTAGATGGTCCATTTCCCACATGAACATAACCTTCTATTTTCATTCACCCTCTGTAGATTATTCCCACGGTGTCCGCGGATAGCGGTCTTAACTTCAAAAACACCCCGTTCATGATCGTACTGAAGAAATGAATGTCACTGTGCTCGCCTGCTGGACCTTTCAAATCTTCTCATGGGTATTGGCATAAATTGAACACCCCTGTCCATCAATGCCGATGCAGCTGCATGCCTTTCAACAAACCTCTCTGCACTCTGTTTGAATGTCATGCGGACCATGGCAGTGACAGGCAGTCCACGGGCAGACTTCAACAAACCGTCGAATGACTCCGACACGTTTGTAGTGAGGGCTCCCCATCGTCTGCCGCCATCAGCATGCAATGTCCACATGTGAAGCTCATGTCGCATCAACCAAGTATAGGCTCGTGGATCTATCTGCCGGATCGCTTCCATGTGCCTCGTGAATTTGCACTACTGGTGCTCAGTTGCAGCCATCCACATTAAGTCATGCAAGGCCTTGTCAGGAAATTTCTTCTGGAAATTGGCCTTCAGGTGCCTCACACAGTAACGGTGGTATGCATATGGTTCCTGCCATTCAGGCAAGTGACATACAGAACTTAAAATACCACCATGCCGATCAGATATTAGACAAATACCTGAACGCTGTTTGACAACGTGCTGCTTCAAGTGGTTCAAAAAAAGCGTCCACATCTCTTCGCTTTCGTTGGCACATATGGCAAAAGCTAGTGGAAATATTTGTCCGTTGGCATCAACTGCAACTGCAATCAAAAGCTTAATATCATACTTTCCATAGACATGAGTACCGTCTATGGAAATTACAGGACGACAATGCACAAAACCATCAATTGCTACTTTAAATGACCAGAACACATAGTTGAAAATATATTCGGGTCTGTCCGGACTCCGCTCACGCCTCCATTCAACAACAGTGTTGGGGTTAAAATGTTGCAGTGCAGCCATGTACCTGCGCAGATTTGAAAAAGACTTATCCCAGTCGCCATAAATAAGTTCAAAGGCACGTTTGCGACCGAGATATGCCTTTCTTTTGGTTATTGTACAACCATACTCCTGGTGGACAGCTGTAATACACTCTTTAATCTTGAACCTAATGGACACTTCCAAATATGGAATCAAGACAAGAGAAATCAAGTCCACATTCAAGTTGAAGTGATTCTCATTGAATGTGTCCATTTCACACCTGTGCTCGCTAATAAATTTACCCACTTTCCACAAACCTGATTTCTTCTTGCTGGCACGCAACATCCAGTGACAACCCATAAACCACCTATAGCATACAGCCTTGTATACCTCCGTAGTTGACTCACTTACCGTCATCTCACGGCACTCTCTTATACTGTAGATTTTTACAGCCCTAATTAGGCGAGCTTTATTGGGGAAATACATGCCCTTTGTCAGAACAGCTGGTCTAGACTCATCCCACATCGCTGACCGAATTTCGTCATCATCCCTTGTGAGGGCATCCACGTTTGGCATACTTGGCAAATTATCAAGGTAGGGAATATTCCGCTCATGAAATGGCACGTGGGACTCGTACACTCTTTGTCTAGTGGGAGGTGGAGGAACATGCTCCCTCGTCACCTCAGGTTCAACATTCACTTCCTCCTCATCATCACCCTCATCATGGAAGGGTGTGTCATCCCCAGACTCATCCGCATTGTTGTCATAATCACTATCATCTTCCTGACTCTGCGCATCAGCCAAATCACGAGTCAATACGTCGTCTATGGGCAACTGTGTGAGGTCAGGAACATCAAGAAGCTCGTTTTCACTGCACAAAAAGAACAAAATGGTAAGTTACCCAACTACATAAATACATTTGATATAGCTACATCAATTTACTTACAAGTCGCACTGTCTTGACGTTTCATGATGGATATTTTCTTGTTGGTGATAACTCCCGGATGGACCACCGTGCTCCAATACTCCAGAACTACGCATATTCAAACTAGGGACGGGGTCATAACTTGTAAAATTCATATCCGGACGATACCCCCTATGAAAAATATAAGTGTTAATACAAATCCAATTAAAACATAAAATAAACATCGCTAAAGCGTAGTAAAATTGAAGTTTACCCGTCGTCTTGTGGATTATATAAAGTCGAAAAATTATAATGTGGCTGCTCATTCGCCGGTGGTGACAAGTTTAAATCAAGGCAAGCTCTTTCATCAGCAATCTGTCCGGCAAAAACTGCTCCAGAATAACCACCCGATGACTGGGGGTTATCCCTACTATGCACGCCCTCATTATTGGGAACGTCTTCCACCTTGACGTACATTTCCAATAATTTTATTACAATAAATTCCCTGTATTCATCCGAAATCCGCAAAAAATCTCTAAGAGTTTCATCATCCTCGATGTTAAACTCAGAATAATAAGCAAACCCCTTTGGAGTCACTGAATACGGAAACCTACCGGTTACTTTAAGGTTAACCGAACGCTTCCTCACACTCATTTTTTTACATAACAACGAAACCAATTTATCATACTCCATAGTAAGCGGCAATTTAACATGACACTGTGGAGGTGAGCTATACCTCACAGAGTTATTCTCCAGCACAACCTCAACCCCCCTCCCCCCCCAATATAATGGAACCCTTATTTTTGGCACTTCAGACATTGTACAAAAATAATTGATAAGAAGAAGAGAGAAGTATGAACGGAAGTTAAAAGTTTGTATTGAATGAATTTTCATAAAACTGAAACGCCTTTAAATAAGGCAAGTCCGAGCCTGGGGTGCAGAATTTTTTTAAGGAATTCGCAGTACAATAATACGTTTTATGTGTTTGAATTATTGTTATGTCAGTTAATTATTGGCGGGGCCAAATTAGTAATTCGCAGTACAACACTGCGAATTAGCTAAAAAAAAATTTTTTAATAATACGCAGTACAATACTGCGAATCACTATTTCTTTTAACTAATTCGCAGTATAGTACTGCGAATTATGTATTTAAGTAACTTTTTTTTTAGTAGTAAAAACGTATTTTTTGTCCAAAAAAACATTAGAAAAGTTTCGGATATAAGAGAGTAATAATATTTCTGAAAAAAATACCATCCTGGAAAAAAACAATTGAACTGCCATTCCATTTGGATCTGGAAGGGATATGAAGCAATACAAAACTTGGATTCGAAGGTAAACGCAGCTGTACTTATTGTCCTGTTTCATTTAACATGACCACGTTATAATATACCAGAGCAAAGGAATCGAAATTTCTTTCAATTTTATATAGTACATTTTTTTCTCTGCTCCAGATTTGAAAATCACATAGAAGCCGCGCTTTAACGGCTACTTCATATAATAAAAAAATCCAAATTAACACCGACCACAAATCTTTTTCCAGCCTAGCTTTCCCCATTTTCAGATTCTTGATAAAAAAAAAAAAAAAACACCCTTTTTAAACCAATAAAATGCCTCAACACAATACCCAAGAAACCCTACAATTAAAGTCCAAAGTAAAACATTCCTCAAACTCAGAAAGTCACTTGTTATAGAGTGAACTTTCAGCTCTGCTCTTACATTTTCAGTTTTCAAAAAAATAGGGTCAAAAATGCCCAAGAAAAGGTCGCCTATTTTCCAAAAACTTTCCAGTTTATTAAACACTTCAATTTTCTTAGCAAAAATGAAGAACCCCATTATTCCAAGGCTAGTTTCATTGAAAAGAGCAAGAAAAATGAAGAAATTTAGCCTACTCAAGCATTACAATTATGGGTATGTTCAAGAATACCAATTTTCTCCTTCAAACACACCTTTGCTTCAGTACCATAGGAAAAAGTCACTTAAAAAACAGAGAAGCTACAGAGATTTCTGCTCTGTTTTTTACATTTCGAAATGTTTGGGGTTGATGAATGGTCAAGGAGAAGAAAAAATGAGGTACCCAGTGTTGGAGTTGGAAGGATTAGCTTCAATGGAAGATGCAGTAGTAGCTAGAGAATTTTCAGAATTTAGTGAGGGAGATGATTTCATTGATGAGAGAGCTGAGAAGTTTATTCAAAGGTTTTATGAAGAAATGAGATTACAAAGGCAAGAATCACTCTTGGAGCAGTTCAATGCAATGGTCGATAACTAATGAAAGCAGTTAGTCGGCCTCAAAACGGGTACTACTGGATATCGAGAAATCGTTCTGTTTCTCTTCTATTTTTTTTTTTTTTTTTTTTTTTTTTAGGGGGGGGGGTAGGGGGGCGGTTGAGTTGAGGTTTTTTTTTTTTTTTTTAATTCTTTTGATTTAATCTTTTCCACATTGTTTTTTATGGCTGTGGAGATATGTCGTTTCTTCTTCTTCTTTTTTTTTTTTTTGTACTGGTGCTTAACGAGGTTGTTAGTTGGTTTGTTTTAAAAAATCTTAATTGAAATTGGATAATTTCTTAGGGAGAATATATATATATATATATATATATACATACAAATTTTATATATCTAAGCTACCGAATATAAATAATTTCGGCTGTGGGCTAAAAACGATCTTTGCCCAACATTGGGCATCTTACGGGAATGTACCAAAAAAAGACACTATTTTCCAATAACTAGCGTTTTAGTCATGCTACCAAACAACAAAACAAACAACAACAAACCCAGTTTTATCCCAACATGTGGGGATTGGGGAGGGGTAATCTGTACGCAGACCTTACCCCTACCTAATGCAGGTAGAGAGGCTGTTTCCAATAGTCCCTCGGCTCAGGAAGGGCAAGAAGAGGAAGAGGGAAGCATTAGGTTACCAATGATATACAACATTTAAAAAATATAGGCCAAAAAAAAATTCAATGGGTATTATTGCGAATCATTGAAAACACATACATGAGACAATATACAAAATTTGACGAAGTTTGAAGGTGAATAGTTTGGAGTTAAAATTCATTATCAATAATAAACTATAATAACTAAAATTAGGCGAAAATGGATTTTTTTTTCTTCAATGAATATGGCTGGACTTCGGTGAAAACATACAGTTGAGGCAATATACAAAATTTGAGCAAGACTGGAGGTGAGTTGGACTGGTTTGGTATCAAAATTCATAGTTAAAATTGAGTTTAAAAAATTCTTTTGCGACACATGCATCACGCACGTATCTCACAACCGGTATATATGGATATATATGTGATACACATTTGATACATATGTGATACATAGTGTGATGCACATAGATCTTCGTCCATGTTCATCTTGTGTACTTTAAATTTAGCTCAAATTTCAATTCAAACACCTAAATCTCCACCAAATCGTCGCAAAATTGAGATTCACACTCTTTAAGATGTACCCAATCTATTCCAACAACACCCACTCGAAATAAATTCCAATTTCGAAAACCTCAATTTTTGAATTCAAGCTTAAGCAAATTTCAATAGCTGTCTATGGCGTTTTTAGTTTAATCCTTCGATCCAATCCAACAAACTAATATTAATAATGATTTCTATATCGAGTTAAGGTGCTTGATTCTCTGAATTTTGAACTTAAAGGAATTAGAATATTGTAATATTATTGAAGACTCAAAAAGTTGGACTATCTTTGTGTTTTAGCAAAATAAAGAGAAAAAAACATAAGTAGGCAATAAATAATAAAAAATTTCAAATACCTAGCACCAGTAGGTATTTTACAAAAGAGGCAGCTAAATAAATATATTCTTAGCAGGAAGATAAAAATTATATGGACCAAGAATCACGTTCCAAAAAAATGTAGAGCATTCAATTCCTTAAAAGAGTCCAAAAACGGTTATAATTCTTCTCTTTTAATGGACACAACTTCCTAAATTAGCGCCGAACACTAATGAAGAGAACTCTTGAATTACGCATTAGTAATTAGCTATGCGCTTTCTATTGCTACGTGCATATATGATATTAAAGCACTATGTTTCATTTTGGAAAACATATCTTACACTTCTTTTTCGAAATTTTTTATGTGTCTTACTTGTTGCAAATTAACACGTCCATGCATGTCAATGTCGAATTGTACATTAGCATGTGTATATAGGGGTGTGAATTCGATTTATCGATTCGATTTTGATTCTTATCGATAATTACTTATCGATTATCGATTTATCAGGGGCGGCATCAAGTTGGAAGAGTGTCGCAGAAAGATAAAGATCTGCACTTCCCTTTTACAACATAGGAGGGAGGGGGCCTCGTTCCTAAAAAGCCTTTCCGATTGCCTCCGCCCCTATCTCTTAAAGCTACGGCATCCCACCGATCCCCGAATCGGCTCTGCTAGTTGGCTTTGTTGCTATCAAGGCATAGCATTTTGTACATATGCTTATCGTTATCGTTTCAATAAGGTTTCGATTTTTTCGATTTCGATTTATCGATTTTTAAGGCTTATCGATTCGGTTATCGATTACACCAATAAGAAAATTTGCGGGATTCCACGGAAAGTATATCGCTATAAACACGCCTAACTAATATGGACCAAAAGAAGCTAAAATAAGACAAACACCATTTATAACATAAAAATTATGTCAACAAGCACATGCAACGAAACTAAAGTAAGGGATCAAATGTATGTCACCAACACTCCAACGGTATAAAAAAAAAATACATCATCACGGCTAATTCTATTTTCCATTAATTTGAACTTCATTCCCTTGAAATTTAAATATGATCATTCCTTAAATGTGGTAGATGAAATAATAGGGTTAGGGACTTAGGGTAAAGGAAAGGGTATTATAGAATAAGGGTTAAAAAAAAAATTTTAAAAAAAATTCTTTTTTTTAGTATTTCTTATCGGTTTATCGATAAACCAATAACCGAAGAGGACAAAATCGAAATCGAAATCGATAACTCGATAAGGAAAATTTCGAAATCGAAATCGAAATCGATAAATCGGTAAACCGATAACAAATAATCGATTTGATTTATCGATAAACCGATTCGAATGCACACCCCTATGTGTGTGTGTGTGCGTGTGTGTGTATATATATATATATATATATATATATATATATATATATATATATATCATTGGTATAAAGTTTTATTTTTAATTGTATGTCAACATAACTTTTTACGCAGTATAATGATGGTATTAAATAGTTTATAAATTACAATGGTATTTTTTGTGTATTAATATAAAGAGTATAGTGAATACTTCATATTGTGTTTTAATCTAATAGTAGTAGATAATTAAATATATACATAGAATAAGAATATACATGGTATTGTAATAGTATACAGATATATGTATATAATATATATACAAGTGGTATAATGGTGGTATTTAATATATGTATATATTAGGTATAATATATGTATAAATAATATATATGACATATTTTATTTATACTATTCATATACTATTCAGAGTACTGAAAATATTCGGAGAATATTTGAATGCTAGATTTTAAAAAATTAGAATATAAAAAGACAGAGAGATTTGATTGCTAAATTAAGCAACTATAAAATTTAGAATGAAAAATAGGAGGAGAGAGAACATAAAAAGATAAATAAGAATAGAGGTGATGCCATAATCTGTGTTGCTCATTAATTGTGTACATAATTTTTTACACTCTGCTAATATTGTAAAAGAATGTGCTATATATGGAATAAATAACAAATCATACCATTTTCTTAAATACTTTTTAAAAGAAGCTCAATAGTGTATTTTGTATTACAAAATGACATTTGGGCTTTATTTTGTAGATTTTATTTTGGACTAGTTTTGGTTGAAATTGTTTATGGACTGACAATTTGGATAGTTCTCTCTTAAACATTTGGAATTTGTTTGGTTTACAGTCCAGTTATGCAGAAATTATAATGCCTAAATTGTTTATTCAGTGATATTATTGCAGGGGTTATTATTTCATAAATGATCATGCATGAAATGTTATGCGATAAAAAATAATACATGAATTATAATATACAAGTTGCCTAAATTAAGGATATTTTTTGTCTTTAGATACTCTATCTATGTATTGTTAATACACATTCTTATCTCATATTCTATTACATGGAATAATACATTTCTGTTATACCATAATCAATAAGCGCATTTGATTTCTAGTATTAATCTCTGCATAACTTATGTTTAAACTTCAAGTGAAAATAAAGCTAGAATTATATCAGTTAAATATAAATAATGTCTTTTTACATGGTAATTTTAGGAAAAGGTTTAGATAACTATTTTCTACAGCTATATAACCAATGGGTTACATGCATTGTCCCGATGACTATTCAACTATTTTTCTTATGAAAACAAGGGATTCAATAGTTATTTGAGCTGTATATGTTGATGGTATTGTGCTTTCCACAGGTAATCAGCTGCTGAAGTAAATAAATTCAAGACAGATTTCTAGAAAGAAAATGACAGATGAAATAGAACTTGCATACGTTTGAGAAAAGGTAAGTTTACAAGAACTGGGGAATCACAACATCCAATTCCATAACATTCAAATTTTCTGTAAGAATGAGATATACCCACCACTGAAACATTACAATTTCACAGTGACAAAATAGAAAAGAAAAATAGAACGTGTTCGCTGGCGGAAATTACAATACCTCTGAATCTATAATCTGTATGGATTGACAAGTGAAGATCAGCCTAGTTGAGATTATGGTACATCACAAGAATCATGCATACAATTACAAATAGAACCTATATTTCAAACCAAACATGCATCAGAGAGATAAAGCACTTGGCGAAGCACAAGACCGACCAATAAATAGAGCAAAGAATATATGAGGAGACTTCTTCCAGTAGCACTATACCTGCACTTGTGGCCTTGACAGCAATTCTAGAACTCGAAACTCCGCAGGAAGTAGGTAGAGAACATAAATAACCATCCAACGTTTCAGTTCTTTTTATCAGACCCTTTGAGGTTAAGGTTGAACCATCTTTTCTTTGATGACTTGTCCTTGGAATCTGAACTGCCATCTTCCCCTGGACTATCGGCTTTATAATCTTCACCAAGGACCTTACTGCTACTTCCGTTACTGAAATGCCCACTCCCACTGCCACTTAAATTAGCAACGGACCTTGCAACTGTGAACGAAGAGTGGATGCTGTCTCTTTGTTTCAGCATCTCATCGACCTTTACAAATGGTGGTACTTAATCAGCATGCAGGAACTATCAGATAATACAAGGAACAAAGTGAAGTAGCATCTAAAGTTCTAAACAAACAAGAGATGCATTAATGATAGCAAAATCAGGGAAAATATATTGTTGTAACACTTCCCAAAACACTAAATGAAAGACAAGCGACTTGTGTTGCAAAGAATTTGGACATACCATCTCAATACGAGGACATTTACGTAATATAATAATCGGAGAAGGGTCATATTTACCGCTGTATTATTGAAAATAAATCATATCTACCCTACGTTTCACTTTCTGAGTATTTAAGGGCCTACTGTTATACTTATTTTTGTATTTGCCCCCCATCCGTTAAGTGACCAGTCCCAACTTTAAAAAAGACACGTGGAGTGTCTAGAATCAATTTTACAGGACCCGGTTCATTTTATAAAAACCCAACCCCAAATAAAACATAACCCGACCCACCGATTCCCCTTAATGCTGTAGCTTTTTATTTACTCCTTCCATTTTGACAATTTAGAGAAATTAGTTGGTGACATATCTTTCCTCTCATACTCTACTCCGAATTCCAAACCAACAACCCACATCATACCAAGGTCGATATAACTCTAAGCTTTATCACATCCAACACCAATGGACTGCGAGTATCAATGATGGAAGGAGGTAAGCAAAGAACCCTCAACATTGTCCAAATTTTAATTTAAGTTTGGTCCAAAGCCAGTCCCAACTGAAAAAGCAGTTCAGATAACTGAAGAAGCTGTGATGGGGATGCAGGAGAGGGGATTTGATGCTAGTATTTCCAGTTTGCTTCATTCACTACATCAGCAACCAATATCAAAGCTAGTTAAAAAAGAATGTCTAAGCTAGTTTGAGCTGGTGGTACAAATTTACTTGTTACTTTCAAGCCAGTTAAGAATGCCTTCGCTGATTCAGAAAGCTGCTCTTTCTTTTGTTTCAGAACTCCTTCTAGCATGCTAAAGTAGTCTGAATATGCGTTTATAGTAACTATCCAATCTCTAAATAGAAGAAAATCTATATCTGGTGTTTAGTTCCTCATTATTATTGGCCTTCTTCTCTTCTGGCTTCTTCAGATATTCCAAGAGTAGTCAAATAGGAAATTACTTCAATGGCTGTGTCTAATTCGACCAAAAAAAAAATCATGAAAATAGGAAGGATAACGTAAAATCCCAGAAATTCTTCTAAGCTTTTTCATTTGTTCCTTTGACTAAGTGGGTAAATTGGTTTCGAAGGGTCGGGTTATGTCTTCTACTTGGGGTTGGGGTTGTATAAAATGAACTTGGTCCTTTAAAATTGATCCTAGGCACTCCATTTTTAAAGTTAGGACTGGTCACTTAATGGATGGGGGGCAAATATAAACATAAGTATAACGGTAGGCCTTTAAAAATTCAAAAAGTGAAATGGATGGTAGATATGACTAATTTTCAATAGTACAGGGGTAAATATGACCCCTTTCCATATAATAACTAAACCAAGAGACTTTTCAACAGAAAACTTACAGACTGCTTCTCTTGGCTGTATCTGTTGGTCACTTCCTGGAAATGTGCCAGTGCCTTTGAACATTAACATGGAAAGTAGAGCAATAAGGATATATGGAAGAATCAATGTCCAACAACAAATATTGTCTAGAAGTAGATTGACAACCTTTCTATATTCTACTTCAAACTGCCGAAGCTCATTTCGTTTCCTCAAAATATGAGCCTCAATATCCTTGAGCTTCAGAGTAGTATCCTCATATGACTTGGCACAGAGAGCCTCAATTGTATAAGTAGCAGGCTTGAAGAAATTATCTCCTGCAGAGAGATCAGACCAAAAGTCAGCCTTAAGGAATTTGGCATCGGAAAATCAATTGTTATTTGATAGTGTTTCTCACAGCAGAAAAAACAAAAGTATTCAACAGAATAAGTAGCTCCAACCATAAACAGCGAATATGTGAGTGCCAGCTTTAAGTTCTGAGACCTCACAAGGTTGAAGTCCCTCCAGCTTCTTAAAGAAAGCAGCTTCAGGGTCCTTAGCCATCGCTAACTACAATATTTCAAATTATTTATTGGCTCTGACGACAACACTGCATAATGAATTTGACCAACAGGGTGATATTCACATACCGCATTTACAGTTGAATCCATTCTATACACCTGAAAGTGCAAGAAATACATTCCTGCTGACGTCACTTTACCCGTTTTCTCACTATCTTCCTGCATACCGTGACAATTCATCAGATTTGATCAGTCAATTGCTTGGTTAGAATACACAAGGCATGCACGACATGTCCATCTAAAGTACAGTAGACTATCTCACAAATCACAGAAGTTTGAGGCATGCTTAGACCTTAAAATTGAGAAGAATTACTCCAAAGATAACTGTGAAAAACGCAAAGCCGATGTGCAGGCAAATTAGAGGTAATTACTGAGCATGTTGAGCTTATATATCTAAGATAAGGGATTACAGGTCCAATATCTGCTCTGTATAAGTGAGTTATACTTAATGTATATAGCAGCCTCACAGCTTATGCAGATTGCAGACCATGAAGAGCTTCAAAATCAGAAAATTTCAAAATTACACCTTAGAATGAGGTCTAGTTGTTATACCTTGGAATGAGGTCTAGTTTTCCAAAGCAGTCGATTGATACTGTCAATTATAAACTTCAGTTTACTGAGATCTTAAGAGGATACAGCCTCATCTATTACAGCTAACCCCTGACTATAACTTCCTATGACCGCATATAAGTCATGAGGCATATGCCTTAAAAGCTTAGCTAACAGAAAATCAAGTGGAAATTCAACCCAATCACCACTTACAGGAAAATAAAAAAGTTACTATTTCCATTTCTAGGACACAGTAAAAGAATTTAGAATCAGCTAGCAAAATATTTTTCTGAAAATTAGAATTGACTAACAAATTTTCTACTTCTGACAAATTTCATAAGCAACATTTTTTGTTAGCATTAGCAAAAGATATGAAAGGTGCATCACAACATGTTAGTTAAAACATTTTATTTCATCGGTAAATGCGGAGATGCACTTAATCATTACGATTATGCTGATCAAAGAAAGGAGTCTGGAGTTCATATTAAATATATATATATGTCATAAAGGACATGTATAAAGGAGCCAACGAACAGAGTGCGAGAACACTAGTAGGAGATATACAGGAGGATCTGATAACCGTGAATTTACACCAGGGATCGGCATTGAGCCTATACTTGTTTACCCTAGTTATGAATGAGCTAACAAACACAATACAAGATGAAGTCCCATGGTGCATGCTATTTGCCGACGAATTGTGCTAATTGACCAAAACCATCAATGGTTAAAGTAAGAGTTTTAAGATAACTAGAAGTAAAACTGAATATATGAACTGCAACTGTAGTCAGCATAAGAAGAGTGAAGTTGAGGTGAGACGGGATTGTGGTGCCTAAATGCAAAAATTTCAGATATTTCGGATCGCTGTTCCAAGAGAACAAATGATGAAGGAAGATGTTACACATTAGCAGCCTGATGAATCTGTAACTACAAACTTCAAATCACTCAGAACTCAGCATCAATGAAAAGTATCTCGAACTCGCAATGGAAACTGATAACTGTAAAATGCAGTACCTGCAAAGCCAGGCCATAACCCCCATTTGCATCTTGTTCAAAATAGAGCAGCTGAAATATACATAAAATTCAGTTTTAATATCTCAACCCATGGCAAAGAAGAAAAGACAAAAACATGAAGATATACATACACTGCTTACAAAGTACATGCAAGAATAGCTACCATTAATATTCTACAGATCTGGAAGTGTACCTTAAATTTGCTTTGAGCTGCTGAAGTAACTCTAACTACAAGCCCTGCCTCCGCTTGTTCACTGCTAATCGTTACACCAAAAAAATGGGCACTTTGCTTTTCAACCTGCAGTAAAACCAAACTAAAAACATCGATACAGCTGAAATATTGTCCTGCTAATTGAAAAAGGAAATCAAATGCTACCTTTCCGCTAAGTGATGTCCCAATTGGAAGAGGACGAATTGTGACAGTTCCATTCAAAGCTTCTTCAAGAACATTAGCAGAGACAGTCGTTTTGATGGGAACACCCAACTTGCTATCAGATAGATAAGGAATTCAAAAACCAAGAAAAATCTACTAGAATGATAAGTTTGGTATGATGATTACCTAAACAATGCTGCAAACATTGTGTTGACAGTTCCAAGATTGGACAAATCAATTTCCATATCCGTTCCTTCAGCATCAAGAGCCTTAAAATTTAAAGATCAAATGTCAAGAGAGTAGGCAAATGGCACATGCGCGTGAGCAGTTATATAGGAACTATAATCAGTTAAAGATTGCCATGTGTATAAGTCAATTGGGAGTCTGTCTACTAAATAAATAATGCACATCATACCTGACTAAAAAAATAACTAGCACAATTTGGATAGATTGCAAAAAGCATAAAAAAGAAACTATACACATACTACTAGAGCGCGCGCGCGCGAGAGAGAGAGAGAGAGAGAGAGAGAGAGAGAGAGAGAGAGAGAGAGAGAGAACGGAATATCTGCTACACTTACTAAGAAATGAAAGCACGCTACAAGCCTCCATACATTCGGCCCAACTTTGCCTAAGCACACGTTGAAGTAGAGACAAAAGTAAAATATCACACGATATATCGAGGGTTCAAACCCAAGGGTGAACAGATAAGTATAGACAAAGGAGGAACCCGATTTGTGACCGAAAATCCTTTCGATCGCCCGAGGAACGTGAATGTAGACACGATCACCCATCAACAATCACGAAGGATCTGGAGTACATGTTTCTCCGGACAAGGGAATCTATGTTATCAACATGTGAACCCCAACATTGTCCTACCGCCTTGCTCCACGCTTCAATCACTCCCTTGTAATCCCAACTTTTTGGAAGAACCTCCTAGACCGCAGGCCCAGAGGTCTGCTTCCCTTTTTTGCCTTTCTGAGATTTGGGAGCTTTTTAATAGAAGGACCAGTGAGTGAAGCCCCCGCATAAGTGATAAATGCAGAAGATGGGACGATTCCTAACGGAGGTGAAGAAGCACCACTGGCTAAAGGTGTAGAAGGCTGGTCGTCTATTGAAAAGAAGTTGAAGCCATGGGGAACTATGTGAGTTGCAAGGGGATAGAAGAAGGAAGAATTGATTGGAAAATAAGAGAAACATGAAAATCAGAGAATGAGATCAGCAAAGGGACTTTGAGTTAATGGGAAGGCCCACAACCAAATATATATAGGCGAGAAAATTCTCCTTCTATAGCCGCCAAAATTCGGAAAGGTTCCCTATCATAAGTAGTCATCATTGCCTGGAAACGTAACAGGTGAGGAGTCCAACAAAAAATGACCACGTATTCTTGAGTATTAATTGCAGACTGCATGAGTCACGTCAATCCTGAAGATTTAATTTCGATGAAACTCTTTCCTGCAAAGAAAGAATTCTCTGCAAAATTGACTCTTACCAAGAATATAAGGCTACCACTTATCGAGCATTCGTCATCAAATCGCCCGACAAGTTGGGGGACTGACTGTATGGGTAAAATTTACCCTCTCCACGCCGCTTGACCGAAAAATCCCGTGTGGCAATTAAGGCCTAGAAATCAAGTGACAGGACCATTGTTGAATTTGGTAGATTTTGAGGTTATGGTCATAAAAGGGTCAGAGGTGGTTGAATAAGTTCTGAGACTCAATCAACCTTATCCATAGATCATGGATATCTACGTTGCGCCGAAATAAAAGCCGATATCGAGGATCCCACTACCCACTACCTTAGGGGTGCTTATTGGGCGGATCAGACGGATAATTGCGCTTAACGTTTCGGCTTATCAGTTATCGGATTATAAATGTAGTAATCCGCTAGCCATCCAATAAGACAACAGGTGGATTGGTATCAGATTAACGATTATCGGGCGGTTAACGGGCGATTTATCGGCTAAACCAAATAGAATATCAAAAATATGTTGTAGAGAAACTATTAGCCAAGTCAAAATCACAAAGGTAGCAGCTAAAATGAGATCTTGTAGTTACAGTGGAGGAACGAAACGACGACTTAGTGTTGCTATGGCCCTTATTGGAGATCCAAAGTTGGTTATTTTGGATGAACTGGTAGGTAGTGGTAATTAGAATTCTTACTTTTATGCTAAAAATAATTTCTGCTCAACATTTTCTTTTCCTGATACCTTTATAGACTACTGTATGGATCCGATAACACGATGCAAAAAGAGGGCGTGCCATTATCTTGACAATCCATTCAATAGAAGAAGCTGATATCTTAAGCGACCGCATAACTATCATGGCAAAGGGACTCAGAAAAACCTTACCTGAAGTTGATGAATTCTGCTTTTCTAAGCTCTGGTTGAGAGAAGAGCCAAGCCCAAAAGCTTCAGCCTTCAAGAGAGAGACCAGTCTGACGATTAACAAGTGATGAGCACGAGCAGATTCAGAATGAGAGAAACTTTGATTAGGGATTTAGGACTTAGGAGAGATGAGTGAATAGTGATGACTGGTCGAATTCTCAGTTCTCACTCTCTGGCTGCAGACTCAATTAAGAATTAGAAATTGGGATCTAGCCATTTAGAGTTTTAATAGTACTTTATATATATAAGGGTAAAAGTGTAAATATAAAAAAATTTAACGGTTTTAACGGTTTATCCGATAAGAAAATTGAGTAATCCGCTCCTAAACCGTTAAGCCGTTAATTATAAAATCTCAATCCGTTCACCATCCATTACCCCGATAATCCGATATCAATAAACCAATAAGCCATCGGTTCGGTTCAGTTAACGATTTCAGTTCATTTTTTTGAACAGCCCTACACTACCTTATCCACTGGCATGATGTCTCGAAACTCGGAAAGGCAGTTCTCTTCTCACCGCTATAAAAGCCGCTCCAACGCTCAAAAGAAGGATTATTGAATACACACATAAAAACTCTCTCTGTAATAAAAATACCATATTGTGCTAGCCTTTCTTTGACTAAGCTTTGTAATTCAACCATATTCGTGAGTAGAGATTGCTTGGAATTGAAAATAAAGAAGAGTTTTCCAGTCACATTATTTCTTTTTAATCTATTTTGCTATCTTCGATTTATCTTTATTCATTATCTACCAGTGTATCAAAATAAATCAACTGCTAGCGGCCTTTGAAAAAAATCTAAATTTAATTGTTTAATCTCAAAACCAATTTTTGGATCAAACAATAACTACAATTGAAAAATAATTGGGAGAAATTCAAAAATAGTCAGTTTTACAAGTGGTCGTTTAAAAATAGCCCAGTTTCAAAAGTAATCGAAATTTAGTCACTTTTCATGTAAAGATAAATCTGAGCGAAAACACTATTCAAAACCCGAAAAATACGCCAGTATATTATGCTGGAGTTCCAGCATAAGCATACTTGAATTCTAGCATATTATACTGGAGTTCCAGCATAGGTATGCTGGAACTCCAGCATAATATGATGGAGTTCCAGCATAAGTACACTAGAACTCCACCATAATATACTGGAGTTCCAGCAAGTATACCGGTCCAGTATAATATGCTGGAAGTTCATACACAAGTGCTCGAATCTCCAGTATATTATGCTGGAACTTTCCGTGTGTTGGAGTTCCAGCATAATATGCTGGAAGTTCATACACAGGTGCACCAAACTCCAGTATATTATGCTGGACCGCTCTCTGTTGCAGCAAAATAGTGGCTATTTTTCATTGACTTGGTAAACGCTGGCTATTTTTGAATGACCAGTCCGAAAATTGGCTAGACCGTGCTATTTTCACAAAATAATTCTAGGTCGGCACATTAACTTTACAATATATATATATATATATATATATATATATATATATATATATATATATATAT